CTTTCTTCTGGCCCTTTTTTCCCTCTCCTCTCCGGGTAAACCGTGTACGCATCATTGTCGTCGTCTTCCTTGTAGGCGTCGTCGTCTTCTCTGCTTGTTCTGTTCTCTTTATCTTGCTTGAGCAAGGCCATTCGTTTGATTCATCTAAGCCTGGGTTTCGTCTCCCCAGGTTTCCCCACCTTCTCCGTCCTCTATCGCTCTCCGCCCCGTGTAGCTTACGGTTGCATGCCATCGTATTGCTTCACTTCGACGCCTGTTCTCAACTGAGTGTTGTCGCTTCTCAAACGTTCGCTTTTCAAGAGTCGCCAATCTGGCGGCAATGCTTGACATATAATAATATTATCAACTTTCCCCACACGTTCCAATGGGCAAATGTATGCCGCCACTCCCCTTTTCAACTTACCTTGTTCCTCGCTGTTGAAGCAGCAGCTTACCATCGTGTCGCACAATAGGGCATTATGGCATCGTCCTAGATGCGGGATCATCTGTAAGCGTCTAAACTGTGAAATGCCGTTGCTTTCCTGCTAACAACTGAGACAGGGGACTCGAGTGCACGTCTATCGGTGGTTGGACCCCGCTATCGCTCGCAAGCACGCAAAAGGTGATGAGCTGAAAACATTACCGGAGATCAAAACTAAGTCGGAATGGACGAAAAAGATACACCCTGGTAGGTTATAGCACAGCACATGTCTGAACTTTCCCTTCAGAATCCATCTCTCTGACAATCGCATTCTTATAGGCGTGTCATCGTTCGCCGACAGGCCGGAAGCAGTAGGCCCCGATCATCTTGCGGAACTTCTCAATCATGCTCGCAAGATCATCCCTGCCGATCAGATAAAGGATACTCCCATATTTCTACTGGCCACTGCTGGGATGCGACTCTTACCCAATCGTGATCGCGAGCTTCTATTGCAACAGATCTGCTCCTACGCCAGCGAGAATTATGACTTTTTGCTTCCCGATTGCGGCGTGCACATTCAGGTCATCCCAGGAGTCACAGAGGCCCTCTACGGATGGATCGCGACCAATTATTTGCTGGGCAGCTTCGATGAACCGAAAGGGCATGATCATGGAAAGGGCCATCATACTTATGGGTTCTTGGATATGGGTGGTGCATCCGCACAGATTGCCTTTGCGCCCAATATAACTGAGACCGAGAAACACGCGAATGACCTGACTTTACTTCGGCTGCGAAACATCGACGGCTCCACCCAGGAGCATCGGGTTTTCGTGACATCTTGGCTCGAATTTGGCGTGCGCGAAGCTCGGAGACGTTATCTGGAGGCCCTACAAACCGCAGCTGGAACCGCGAAGGAACTTCCCGACCCTTGTCTCCCCAATGGATTTCGAACCACAGTTGACGGCAAACCTCTCCGGACCAACGACATCGCGGAGTTGACTCTGCTGGGAACTGGGCGATTCGATGAATGCTTGCGACAAACATACCCGCTTTTGGACAAGGATGCGCCCTGTTCGGATGAACCTTGCCTTCTTCACGGAGTGCATGTCCCTGCTATTGACTTTGATGTAAATCATTTTATCGGTATTAGCGAGTACTGGCATACGACGCATGAGATCTTTGAAATGGGACACAAGGACAAAGCTTACGACTTCAACACTTATCAACAGCGGGTACAACAGTTCTGTTCACAAGATTGGGAAGCCATCGAACAAGGTATACAAAAACAGTCATGGGGAAAGAAGGTCGACCGGGAATCGGCTGCCGAGGTTTGCTTCAAGGCTTCATGGATCATTAATATGCTGCACGACGGCATCGGTATCCCACGGGTGGGTCTCGAGGATACTACTGGTTCAGGTCACAATGGAACCAAGGAAGTTCTCGCCCATGGCGAGGAGAAAGGATTCCTTGATCCTTTTCAAGCGGTTCACAAGATCCACTCCACCGAAGTTAGCTGGACCCTGGGTAAAATGGTGCTCTATGCAAGCTCTGAGGTTCCAGTGGAAGTTCAAGAAGCTCAAGAAATGCTCCCGGTTGGCTTTGGCAGCAATGTTCCAGGCGTACCCAATGACTTCCAGTATCCTAGCGTCGAATTGTTTCCCAACAATGAGTCGCTTCACGTTGCGAATTGGCACGATGCGCTCTTTGATGGTGATTCCTCGCGCAGGGTTCCGGGATTCCTACTTTTCTTAATTATTATTGCAATGGCTGCATTCTTCCTCTGCGGTCGGAGTCGTCGACTGAGGGTTTACCACATGTTCAAAAGTCTCTTCAAGCGTGGAGGCCCGCCTCATCCGAGCTACCCCAGGAAGCGAAGAACCTTTCCTGGCAAACTACCATTCTTTGGCCGCAGATCACACTCATACGAGCGCGTTCTTGAAGACGGTGCCCATGAATTTGACCTGGGTGTGGTAGGCTCCGGTCGTGGCTCTCTGGACAGAAGACACTCCTCCGATACAGATTCGAGTAGCTTTATGCCTCCGAAGCGAACAACGACCTGGAGCGGTCCAACCACACCTAGTTTCAAATTCGGATTGGACAATTCGTCCACATCGACCATCGGGTTGGGAATCACCGCCGATTCTGGCGTCAATGCCATGGATCGGGCCGGGTTGGTCGTGAGGACAGAGAGTAGGGACCATCTGGCTCCAGTAGCGCTAGGCCCGACCACAAACGGCCGTCGCTCTAGGACAGGCAGTCCGACGAGATCTCACAGATCACCCAATATGACTCCCCTTGATCAAGACTAATGTCGCTGCATGATCATCCGCCTTGATTTGCATATCGTTTGGTGTTACGGTACGGTTTTCCATCGTCGTTTGCTGCATCTGAAGACCTTTTTTGCAGCGACTCGGACCTCCCTGTCACTCCTCGATTCGATTCAAATGCTGAATTGCTTTCTATCTTTCCTTCCTCATTCTATATTAAGATCGTGTACTCTGGAGTACATAGCTGCTGCTTTTGTTCCGACATCTTTCTGCGAGCCGTTCTCTGGAATGAAATTGGCTTGTACGTTTTAATGAGGTTTCATGTATGATAGACTCGAAATCACCTATATAGCACCTCCATAATAAGCTGAATCACTGGATGTTTCTTGATACGATCATACTCTGTAACATCACGTGCTTCATTAGAAAGCTGAGTTGGTCAACCTCACCGCCTGGCAGAATCTTGAGGTAATGCTGCTTCAATAATTCAGCCATGCGCTAGAGAGCTTCGGCTTCAATCTCCGCTTTCTGCAATATATTTCAATTGCCCTTTTCTCATCTCAATTATTATTCTTCCCTTTTGTTCGCTTCTGCGCATTACTTGCGTGCATGATACCCCAGTAGAGGAACAGCAGTAATAATCCACCGCCGCAATGCGATTGACCGTCGAACTTATTCAGAATTCACTTTCCTACATCAATCCGCTCAAGGATCGCGAGCTAGACCTTCGAGGTGGGTTTTTCACTTTGGCCTGAAAAGGGCAGATACTACACTTTTGAATGAGCTGGATTGATATCGATCCCTTTGAATTATGTAGGGCACAAGATTCCCACGATTGAAAATCTGGGTATTGCAAAGGTATGTTTCTGATCGAAACGTCGAGCCTGTCAACTCTATTCCTTTGCTAGTTGTAGCAGAAGGCTTATAGACAACAGGACCAAGATGCGATCGACTTCACGGATAACGATATCTCCTCCCTGGGGAATTTTCCCTTCTTTCCTCGTCTTCACACCCTCCTTCTTGCGCGCAATCGGGTGAAGCATATTCAACCGACGATAGCTTCCACCATCCCCAACCTGACGACGCTGGTTCTCACGGCGAACAATATGTCCGAGTTGGCAGACTTGGACCCCCTCCGAAACTTGACACGCTTGAGTCATCTGGTGTTACTGGAGAACCCTGTTACACGGAAAGAGGTGAGCTGCCCTGGCTTTCCACGCGCGTACCATATCCTGCATTCGATGTTTAGCGCTACTACAACGCGTTTCCTAAGGAAAGGGTTGCTGATTTTTATAGCACTACCGATACTGGGTGATCTGGCGGATACCCAGCGTCCGATTCCTAGACTACCAGAAAGTGAAAGACGCGGAGCGGGCAAAGACGAAGGAGCTATTTGGTACTGCCGAAGAACCGACAGCTCTCGCGTCCAAGATCATGGGCATCAAATCTCGTACCTTTGATGTACCGTCTGGCGGCGCTGAGCGAGCACCGGCAGACAAGGCTGTTAGGGTCAAGCTGACCGAGAAGGAGAGGAAGCGGGTCGAGAAGATGATCCGTGAGGCGAGAAGTCTCCAGGAKATTACTAGACTGGAGAAGGAATTGAACGAAGGGCGGATACCCGGAGGCGCTCTTGATGCCGGTGAGGACAGTGACGATGAGAATCAGATGCAGACGTGAATGTGGACCGGCGTTGAGTTTCACTTGTTCTATTGCGGGAATTTTGTGTTCGAATATGATTTTGAAGGGCTCTGCATGAGAGGCACATGTGATCGGTTTTAGTGGGTGTTCTTTTACTCGGAGTTATGCGTGTTCCTCGGCAGCACAATACAAAAGCTCTTTTAAGTCGAGCATAGCTAGATTGGTCCATGTTAGGCCATCGCAGCACAGAATAAGCAACTACTAGTTGATTCGCTTCAGCCGTCGTAAACGAAATGATAACGGCCTGGTTGAATGAGGATCCTGATTTGATGCCAAGACTCTCGATCTGATAAGATAAAAACAACACGTGCTTTATATATCGGCTTCAACGTCATCAATATATCGGTCGTTGAGGATCATTCTGCCTGATGCCAAGGCTTGATGCTTCAGGAACAGGATAGATACTCCGATTGACTAGTCCTGCCTACTAGATTCTATCTACTCTGCAAGGGGAGAGAACAAAATACCTTCCATCAAGCAATATATCCAAACCCCGCAATCCGCACCACACACCCACCCTGGCTCAAAACAGTTATAGCAAACGTCTCTCCTCCCTAGCCCTCCAACTACGACGCCAGTCTACATCCTCATCCGCTACTTCAATCCCACCCTTGAAACCGCCATCAGCAGCAAAGATGCCGCCCCGCGCCCCCTGGCTCTCAACCTTCCAATCCCACCTCTCCACCTCCTCCACCACCGAATTCAACATCACAACCGTCGCGCTCGATGCAAAGGGGCAAACCGTCCCGCGAAGCCGAACCTGCGGCTTCCGAGGCTGGTTCCCAAACCCAGAATTACATTCTAGCGCGCTCAAATCCCTCGAGTCGCAGAACGAGCGCCCGAACCCGTCCGTGTACGAGAGCGAGATGATCTCGTTGACGACGGATGTGCGGATGGAGAAGGTCGGGCAGCTGGAGGGGTCGGGGAATGTGGTTGAGGCGGTATTCTGGTTGAAGGATGTGGGCAATCAGTGGCGGGTGAGAGGGGAGGCATTTGTGATTGGGGATCCGGATCCGGCGGGTGCGGAGCGGGAGGAGAAGGCCAGGGAGGAGATTAGGAAGGGGTTGAGGGTTTGTGAGGGGTGTGAGGAGAATGAGAAGGAATGGAACTGGGAGAGGCAGGTGACGACGTATTTTGCGAACCATACGCCTGTCCTGAGAGGTTAGTTTGGTCTCTTCTGCTTGACTGGAGGGGATAGCTGATGTTGTATAGGCTCGTTTAAGAATCCTCCGCCTGGGACGCCGAGGTCGCAAGTACCCACTGATCCCGAGCTGAAGCTTGGTCAGAAGCTGAATGATCTGCATGATCCTGTTGCTCGTCGGAATTTTCGCGTGGTTGTCATTCGGGCGAATGAGGTTGAGCGGCTGGATCTTTCAGACTACGAGAAGCCACAGCGGTGGAACTGGACCCTTGTTGGCGGGACTGGAGATGATGCTAGATGGGAAGAAACGGAGCTATGGCCATAGACAATGTAATTTGGTCTAATTGCAGAGTGAAGTAAAGCAGTCCAATACTTTGCTCCGACTATTCTATGACATACTGTGATAATATAGAATGTTTTCTTCTCTGCTCTCTTCTTTGTGCTGTGGCTGATGAAAAAGACAGGATTCTTGTCCTTCTGTGGCTTCCTTGTCAGTCGATATGGAGCAGATGAGTGAATATCAAAGAGCTTCAGCAGGTTCTGTTCTCCCAGCCCCTCCGTGCTCAACCACCCGGACGATCCAGTTCCGGGTCAGGCCCGGATATGCCTTGAACATCCTGTTGATAAGAGCATATGTCGTCCCAACTGGGCTTAGATGAGGCGATCCTCCAGAGAGCAGTGAATTAAGTCTCCCAGTCTCGCCTGCTTCCCTCCTCAGTGCGGAGCCTGGGGTCGAATTTAGATGGAATATTCCGCTCCAGCAGCGTCAACTCAGTGTATCCATCTCAGTTAAACATTCACTCTCTTGTTCGTCTTGTCTGTTCGCTTCGCTTGAGTATTGAAGCGCCCTCCCATCTCACCTTCTCTCTCTCTCCTTCTCTTCTTCTCTCATCCATCATCATCATTACCACCATTCCTCCATATCCTGCTCTTTTGCGGTTATCAAGGCTCTCAAAATTATCAATCATTTCCATACTTACAAGCTTCGCTTGTTACATCTCTGGTAAGGAACTGGTCAATCTCTTGATGTCCTGCGTTGTTCAGCTTGCTAACACAAGTCGTCTGCGCAGCTCTCACATCACATCGGTGAGATACCAGTCGATCCTTTGGATCTGTTGGCTACATTTCAACTAACAGGGGTCAGCTTCAAAGACCACCACAATGTCTGAGCAAGCAGACGCGCTCTGTGTCAAGTGCGGGGCCCCTCGCGCGAAGGGTTTCGTCGGCATGGTGACCAGCATGTGCCTCGACTGTGCCAGGGTCAAGCTTGAGGCTGACACGGCAAACATCCGCAGTGAGAAGGCGTCCCATGCCGGCGAGCCGCTCGCCAATCCCCAGTCCGAGGCTGAGGAAGCCGCTGGGAGCGAGAGGGCCCCTAGTGTGGAGGAGGGCGACCAGCCCTCCCGCAGCCGCAAGGTCAGTTAGTATCTGACTCGCTTTTTGCTTCTGGGGTACGCTCATGCTGACGATCCTCTAGCGGCGCATCCAGCCATCGGCGGCCAAAGGCGCCGATGGTAAAAAAATGACACCGGCGTGTGCCAACTGCAAGAAGTCAAAAATACGTTGCACGCACCGTCAGGTCATCGAAGACGATGACAGTAAGATTCCTGTTTCCATTCTCTCTTGATCGCGACGAGCTAACTTTTTTCCAGGCAACGTTCCCTCCCGGAAACGGAAGAGGGAAGCAGAGGCACACGTCGGTGTCAGGGATGACGCTGGCAATGGCAGTGACCCTTCTGCCTCGGTGGGCGCGGAGGACCAGGCTCCCCCACCAGCGAAGAGACCCCTTCGGATCCGGTTGAAGGGCAAAAACGAGGAGGTGTTGACGGAGTCCGCCCCTCGTCCCACCGGATCCGAAGCTGGTGTCTCTATCGCAAAGAGGCAGGCCCCGGGCGGACTTCGCAAACGCAAGTTTGTCGAAGTCGAGGAAGAAGCGTCTTCGGGCGCGACCGAATCGAAACCCGCAGCCGCTGTGAGTGTCGAAGGGACCGGCTCCGTGGAGGTGTCCAACCCTCCACGGAAGCGAACCCGACGGGGGCGAAAGCCAAAGGCGGAGCGTGATGTTGAAGCCGTGGAGCAGGCGGCAGTTCGCAACACGACTCCAGCACCCGTCGTGGCGCCCGCTGCTGCCAGGTGTTCCCCCACAGCTCCGGGGTGGCAGCCTTTACCCTCCTTCCCGATGAACAATCTGGAAGAAGCCGCCCATTTGTCAGTGCATGCAGTTCTCAGCAGAGAACTGCAGCAGAAGCTGGAGGATGCGGAGACAAAGTGGCTCGCTGCGATTCAATCCCTCCAAGCTGCCAAGCAAGCACTTGATAATTGGGTGGAGGTGTGGAACAAAGGGCTGTGAAAGCAGTTCTCCCTGTTCTCATGCCTGGTGAAGGTCTGCAAGGTGTTGCTTTTGCGGCTGTGGGCAACCTTCATCAGCTGTTTCTTTTGTCCATGTAATTAGAGCGCGGCGCAAGGACGGTCTTTGCGGTTCCTGTATCTGCCCCCTTGACCCCCCGTACAGGGGATGGGCGAGGTGTGGCTTTCTGTATGGGCATTGGGTTGCAATTTTCTTCTTTGCGTTCAGTAGCCTGTTTCTCGGGCCCTGTCTCTCATTCAGTTGAATGCGAGAATCGTGGGCCCAGGACGGCTCTGTCTGCTGTTTGCCGGTTTGCATGTACTGTACAGTTTTGTCTTTCATTGGCTTGGCCTTCCTGTTTTTGCTTTTCTTTTTCTCATGGAGTTACAGGGATGTTTATTATGAAGCCGATGCTACCGCGCCAGAATTATTGAAGATTTTGATTGACTGAAGCTGCATGATTCTGCATCCAGTAGATGGACTACGTTGCTGCAACTCCTCCAACATCGAGTGACACATTGTATAATCCGAACAATCACATTGCCGTAGGTTGACAATCCTTTTTTTCATGCAATCCCTTCGGAAGGAGTCTGGACGGCGCAGCAAATTGCCAAGCCCGAGACAGAACAGGAAGTTCTTACCAATTGCCCGATTGAGCATAACTCGGCGACACTTGGGGGACAAAAGTACGCCTTTGCTGACACTATTCCACGCTAGAGCCCAAATCAAGAGCAATAATTTAGAGAAATGGACCACCAGATCACATGAACATGATCAGGCATGAATTTCAAATCATTCCTTGTTCGAACTCGGAAGTTGATGCCTAGGAACTGACTCGTTTCGACGCCAATATTCATTGTACACGACCTAAGCAGGACATTGACTTATCCATGTCTTTTCGGTCGCCGTCTGCTTACGATCCCATGATACCACCATGATCAGTACCGCAAACTCGTTTAAATTGTTACAGATTAGAGTACAAAGTATTAGGAGAACTCTAATGTTGGTTAGACTCCGGAGTCTATGGAGTAGTCACACTAAACAAAGACATCTCCACGGGCTCTCCCGCCCATCAGCGAGTAAAGTCAAACGTACCCAAGACAACTAGACAAGACATTGTCAGCCGTTTGACATTTCGGCTTGTTAAAGTCCTGGCTCAGTGTCAGGATGTCCACTCATGCCCGCAGATCGACTTGGCAGCAGTCGGAATGTTGAGGAGAAATGCAACTCGATAGTCTGGCACTCGTCGATCTGATGTTGGTTCTTGATTTCTCAGTTTTGCCTACTGCGTCCGTTGCATCCGGGACCGTTACGTGTCATGGCTTAGTTGGGAATAGTTCGCCGTTATCACTGTGATGATGCGGATCGGACACTTGATTCTATGTCATCTTAACGGTCCATAATAGTCATCGGATGGTTGTCTCATACTCTCATTCGCTCAGAGTTTGGCATCTTATGCAAAGACATCCTGCCCCCATATGCGGACACGACGTACTCCGTCCGAGGAACTCTGTGATTCTGCCTACTTAGACTGAACCCGTTTATCTGATGCAATTGGAGACTCAAGTATTCGATGTGGAGAAGACGAAGCAAATAAGACTCCCCAGCTTGAATCGAATCCACCCATGTTTAGCATCCATTTACTCCATCGGGCAATGCGCACTTTGATCATCCACCCCTCCACGCACATCATCCAGTGCCAACTTTGAGGACCTATATCATCGAATCCGGGGCGAGAATCAATGTAATCGTTTTAGCAGGTTATCCATAGCTTCGCACTCCAGAATCCTTCCAGACGGCGGACGGACAAGGTGTTGAGCATTGATTGGAGGTCAGCAGCCTGTGATAGACGAAACCGCCGCCTTGCATATCGATTTGCGCGCAGACCTTCCCCCACGAGGGGACTATTCACCGCAACTTTGACAAGCTGTCAAATGTCAGCAGCGTCTTGGATTTTAGTTAGACCAAATAGAACGGGTTGTTGGAGGGGCATTCTGGATAGTCGAGAAGCCAGCAGAAGCTGCATTGTATTTGTATCTGTTGAGTTCGCGAGACGGTATAAGACTGCGGTGGTATTATTAGGTACCTAGCAGTACAAGGTCCTCCGTGGCTGATGACAACCCTAATAATCTTACAGAGACTTCAGAACCACCCGCCAAGGAAAGCTAGCAGGGATATTCCGTTGGGCATGGGTCCTTATTCTTAGCCCAGTTCCTAAAGTTGATTGTTTTGTCCTTTTGTAGGGCAGTCCTCGGAGTATGACAGCCGCTTCTGCAGCGGTAACGTAATATATATCCCTGTAATTCTGCCGTAGCGTAACTCGTAAGATAACAACAAATGCGGCTTCCTGCAGCCACCGACCCACGCCAAATCTCGGGCTTCACTTTCGGGGAATGATAAAGTACCGCTCGCCTGTACGTGTACTTACTGGGGTCTACCTAACAAACGCTTCATAGAAGTACCTTGACGGCCTTGTTCGGGCTCTACCTGAGGTAACTCGTCTGTAATACACATGTAACAATACCTCTCTTTGTCGAAAAGTAGTACGCCGCCTCCGCTCACTCAACTCCATAATTCTGGCCCGACCCGTCTCTCCTCCCTGTCTCTTTCTATCCTCCCCATACCTCTTTTTTGATCTTCGACCGTCGACTTTGTTCGCACGACGGCCATCTCTCAGCCTTTTTCCCTTTCCTATCCTGCAATACTATTTGCGGCCTGCCCGTACCGTCATTGAGGGCAATATTCGATAATCTCAAAGACAACAAAACGCTCCCTACTATCTCGGCCGATTTCTACTGTTTTGGGTGATCATTTTCTCCGCCTTATGGGAGGATACTGAGGAACCACCGGGTTCCGACCGCGACCAACGGTACTCACCACTATCGAACCTCACGACTCACGACGGCACGATTATTTGAATACCATTTCTAAATAGGATCTGGAGACAATTGGTCGCCTTCATCCTTGTTTCTCTACTT